TAGTAACCCTCTCTAGTAGTAGTAGTAGTGATGATGCAGCCCAGCAGCATTCTCTTGTGTATTTGTATGGGTTGCCTGCTGTGTTTCTAATTTCTACTGCTGTGCCGTGTGTGTCGAGTGTGTAGTGCCGTGTTGTGCTTTGGCGTTTTGGTTTTCCGGGGACGCGCCTCCCGCAGCCCAGGGCACAAAGAAGTGAGGCTAAGCCAGATATATGTCCGGAGGTGTCGCAACCCCCCCCCCCCCCTGTGGTTTAAGAATTTGTAGATAGAGGGTATGCAGCTGTTGTTCCGTGCCCCAGCAGCAATTTTGAGCAGTCGAGAGAGGCTGTGGGTGAAATCGAGCACAAAGGGAGGCAGAGAGAGATACGTGCAGCAACTAACTGGTGGTGTGATGTCGATGCCTTATGTAACGTGTGCGCCTATGTTGTGTGTGGTTGTACCTGTTGATGACCATGGGTGGAGGAGAGGGTAGATCGACGCTGCTCTGCGGTTCCTAACGGGAGCACAGACACACAGGTAGCTGCTAGGAACTGCTGCTGCTGTAGTAATACACAACTATTGGTGCTGGCTGGCAAGCCGTGGTGGTGCTTGGTAGTAACCCTCTCTAGTAGTAGTAGTAGTGATGATGCAGCCCAGCAGCATGCTCTTGTGTATTTGTATGGGTTGCCTGCTGTGTTGCTAATTTCTACTGCTGTGCCGTGTGTGTCGAATGTGTAGTGCCGTGTTGTGCTTTGGCGTTTTGGTTTTCCGGGGACGCGCCTCCCGCAGCCCAGGGCACAAAGAAGTGAGGCTAAGCCAGATATATGTCCGGAGGTGTCGCAACCCCCCCCCCCCCAGGTTGAAGATTTTTTCAACCCGGGATAGGCGGGGGCTCCGACCCATGTGCGGTGTGATTACAGCAACAGTCAACAGTTAGTTGCAGATCCTATGCTACACACACAGCAATTGATACGCACACAGCTTCTGTGAGTACAAACGTGTGCACCAGCACCAGGACCAGCACCAGAAGTACAGTAGATAAAGTCTCCTCTGCAGGTGCTTTCATGGGTAGTCGTGGAACTCGTTGTACGCTCACAAATGGAGGTGACAGCAGATGGATCTCTTACGCGTGATCTGCTGGGTTGACGTCACTCACCCGTTGGCTGCCGCAGCTATATACAAATGCACACACAGGGAGAGATGCACACACACAGCTCTGTCAGCTACAAACGTGTGCACCTGCATCAGCAGTACCTGTGAATGTGTGTGCCTATGATGCGTGGTCGTACGTGCGAGCCGTTGTACGCTATACTGATGTGGATGTAGTCACACAGCAGTCTACTGCTGTTTGTTGGCCATGGCTTGGCTAGTCCACCGCACGTGTAGTCGTATGCTAGGTCAAACTACCCCCCCCTCGAGCCAGCGCGTGGTTTGCTGAGTCGTAATATATGTACTGTATTTTTAACAATCCCCCCACACTTTGTACCGGCGTCTATCCTTCAAGCTTCAAGATATCTACGTACCGCTTGGTGCTCCTTCTCTTTTGGGTCATTTGGTCGGTCATTGAAAACAGGTTCTTGAGTATGTTAGGTCTGACATTTTCTCTTGCATTATCCACCCCTCTCCTTGCGGAGAATTCAGGATAGTGTCTGACCAGATTCCCACCGCCCCATGGGAACCGGTAATGTTTTGCGGTTATCTCACCACGAGTCCCCAACCTTCATGTGCATCGCACAGTTGACCAAAAGGATTGCTGTGTCAATATTTATGCTTCGTTNATCGCCCACAATGTAAGGAATGGACCCTGCACCGACCTCACACGAGCATATTAAATCCCCAAAAGGACAAGCATGCACGTCCGTGATAGTATGCGCAGTTGAGCCGCTGGCAACGGCGACTCACCAGTTCTGGTCTATTCCATCTTGCAGCATCCCCTGCAACAGGTCGCCGACTTTCGCGAAGGACGGTCGTTTCGAAGGGTCTTCAGCCCAGCAAGACTACGCATTGGGGTTCAAAGAAAAAAAGAAGCACGATGGCGGACGGCAGGCGGCAGAGGGAAGGCACAAGAGAAGATCAAGACTTTACGTACGGCGACAGGCGCTCCATGCACAAGTGCGTGCAAGAACTCAACAAGTAGGGGGGGGGGGGGGGGG